GGGCTTAAAGGGGAAGGAGCGGCGGCGGCGGCGGCGGCTGCGGCGGCCGCGGTGGCGGCGGCGGGGCGCGCCCGCACTGCGCCTGCGCGCCCGGAGCCGTTGCCCGGGCACCGCGCGCCGCGCCCTGCCCTAGCGGGGTCTCGCGGGACTGGCCCCGGGCGCGCGCTCCTCGGCAGGCCACGCTCCGGGCCGTGAGACGGGGGCTCCGGGGGTCCCGGGGGCGCGTGTCCCGCTTTCCTGACCCACGGGACCGGTGCGGCCCTGAGGTCCCCGCGCATCGCGGAAAGGGTCCTCGAGGTGCTTCCGATGCTGCATGGCGGGCACTGCGCGCGTTACCTCGCGTAATTGCCCAGCCGACCTCGGCCCTGCCAGGCAGCCGTGGCCTGGTTCACAGAGGACCCGACAGCCTTGTCCAGGATTCAGAGTGAGGTCTGGCCAGGGCCACCTCCAAGGTCCTGCGAGGACTGGGGTGTGTCCTCCCCACCGCCCCGAGCGCTCACGTTAGTGACGAGCCCTGGGGCAGCGCAAGGGACCGCACCGTAAACATCTGTTGAAGAGTTGGTGTACCCGCCGCACCTTTCCTGTTTCATCCACACCTGTCTGGGACTCCGTTCCCACGAGCCCGCGTCTGCTCCCGCCCCTTCTGTAAGGACTTCTGGATGCTGCTCAAAATTCCCGGAGACAGAGGCAACCAGGGGGAGATGGGGCACTGGAGCTATATCCCATTTCCACTCCCAAGTCCTGGACCTCCCTTCTCCGGTGTAGAGCCAGGAAGGGTGTCACCCCGCGAGGCAGGGCAATGGGACTCAGGTGAGCTGGCAGAGGGAGCAGTGAGGGACAGGCGGCGGCCGGGTCTTTGTGGGAATTCAGTGCCACTGACTAATGAAGGCCATCCGCGGAGGCCCCCAAAGCCAGGGGCATAAGGGCCCCGGCAGGACCCCAGGAACGTCCTGCCTCCAGGAACGTCCCTCTCCATCCCACCATGCCTTGTACCCTGCTTTGTAGGGTTGTGTGTGGTTGTCTATCCCAAGGTGCTCTTTAAGGGGCAGGGCATGACATTGTACTCCAGGGCCTTAATATATCTGGGGCATGACTTTTTTTTTTTTTTTTTAAAGATTTTATTTGTAGGGGGACGCCTAGGTGGCTCAGTCGTTAAGCGTCTGCCTTCGGCTCGGGTCATGATCCCAGGGTCCTGGGATCGAGCCCTGCATCGGGGTCTCTGCTCGGCTGGAGGCCTGCTTCTCCCTCTCCCACTCCCCCTGCTTGTGTTCCCTATTTTGCTGTGTCTCTCTCTGTCAAATAAATAAAATCTTAAAAAACAAAAAAAGATTTTATTTGTAGGGGCACCTGGGTGGCTTAGTCGGTGAAGCGTCTGCCTTCCGCTCAGGTCATGATCTCGGGGTCCTGGGATAGAGCCCCACATTGGACTCTCTGCTCAGTAGGGAGTCTGCTTCTCCCTTTGCCACTCCCCCTGCTTGTGCTCACTCTCTCGCTCGCTTGCTCACTCTCTCTCTCAAATAAATAAAAGCTTTAAAAAAATAAATATTTGGGCGCCTGGGTGGCTCAGTCGTAAGGCGTCTGTCTTCAGCTCAGGTCATGGTCCCGGGGTTCTGGGATGGAGCCCCGCATCAGGCTCCCCACTCAGCGGGAGGCCTGCTTCTCCCTCTCCCACTGCCTGCTTGTGTTCCCTCTCTCACTGTGTCTCTATCAAATAAATAAAATCTTTTAAAAAAATAAATAAAAAAATAAAGATTTTATTTGTAAGTAATCTTTACAACCAAGGTGGGGGCTTGAACTCACAACCTCAAGGTTGCATGCTCTACCCACTGAGCCAGCCAGGTGCCCCAGGGGCATGACTTTTAAAGTCAACCAAATATACAGAACTACAAAGGCTTGCCCCTGAGGACAAAAATGCAGTCCTGTGGGCTCCAGCTTCTCCAGCCTCCTCACCAGCACCACCAGCTCTGTTCTCCTGATCACACTTGATAGGAATGTAGTGCCTGAGCTACTGCTGGGCCTCAAGAGCCGCTCCACACGGCAGGACCCTGGCAGGCCACATGGGGTTGACTTGGTGCTACGCAGCTCAGGCCAGAACCACACCGCCATCAGGAAACATAGGTGATTGGCCCTGGGGCTGGGAGCCACCATGGGTGGAAGCTCACTGGCTAGTCCCCTCATGACCCCACACCCCTAACTCCTCAGTCCTCACAGGATGGGGTCTGGCTGCCATTCACACGTGGGAGGTGGCTGAGAGGCTGACTTATGTCATGCTGCTGCTCTCCTCCTCCCCCCACAACGGGGTACACACCCGGCCACTTCTTCCATCTTGGAAGAGGGGACAGGCAGGCATGAGGCTGCGCCCACCCAGGGCCGCCAGAGAGGTCTGTGGGAAGTGAATTAGGGCCCAACTCACCTGGAGGCCAGTGACACTGTGTGGGTGTGAGGGCTGCCTCCTACAAACAGATGGCCCTGGGCCCTAAGGTCAGCTCTCCGGACATGTGATGGGGGTGCAGGGCTGCCCACCTTCTAATCTCTGGGACCTGTGGGGAGGGCAATGTTCCAGACCACCCAGGCTCCTTTGCTGCCCCATCACCCCAGACTCTTCTTCAGAGGCGTGGGAGGAGTATGTGAACAGGGTCCTGATCACCTGCAGAGTAACAGGTAGCGGGTTTGTTGGCATGTCTGGGGGAGGCCATCAGGAAAGAGGACGTGCCATGTTGAAACACCCAAGATAGCCAAGCCTCCAGCATCTGTCTCTGGGTCCAGCTAGAGAGCCCAAGAGAGTCCATGGTTGTCTCACCTGCCCCAAGTCTGGCTGGCCCCCACCCAGGAACAGCACTGCAGCCTTGCTTGGGAGTGATACTGCAAGGAAACAGGCCCACAGGTTTCAGCATCCCTGCTGGTCCATGCAGCATCACCATGACCAACTTCCGAGCTACCTCTTGGGAGCAGACGCCAAGACCTGGCTTTCTGGTCCGGCCTGGCCTTCCCTGGGCCTCCAGTGCACTGCTTCCCACTGCAGCTGGCCACTGCCCTCCTGCTGGCCCCTCCCAGATGTCCCTCTTCAGCTTGCACCCTCCACGGGCAGATCTGGGAGCCCCGCTGCCTTCTCCTGGAGTTCAGCCAGCCCCCAAACTGACATTGCAAGGAGGCTCAGGGCACAAGGGGATGTGGTTGTTGTCCAAACGGACTGACTAGCCTTACTCCCATGGGGGTCCAGGCAGAGAGAGAGGCCCATACCAGGGTCCCCCTAGGATGGACTTTTCCCTTCTCTGTCTGGCCAAGGGCTGCCGACCTGTTTGTTCCAGAGCCTGAGCCCAGCCCTCATGGGGGCCACAAGACAGGGGTCAGCCTGGTACAGGAAAGGACTGGCAGAGAGAAGCAGGGCAAGGGTCCCATCCAGGCAGGCAGGAGCCTAGGGCAAAATCCCAACTAGAAAACTGAGGCAGAAGCTGGACCAAGCAGAGGGAGCTGGTTCTTCCACCTGGCTCACCCGGCCCACTGGGCAAAGGGCAGGAAGTTCCTTCATGCCCCACTTGGTAGGTGTCAGAACTGGCAGCGATGGCAGCCAGGAAGGCATGCCAAACTGACCCTCCTCACTGGGATCCCTGTGGTGGCTTCTCTAGATGGTAGCATCGCAATGCTTCCCAGCTGGCATCTGGCGGCCCCTGGCCCTTGAGGCCCATCTCTGTTCTCGGCCTGTGCCCTGCACCCATGTGAAACAGGTCCCTGCTCCTCCCACAGGGCGGCCCTGGATGTCTGTCCCCATGGGACACCCAGGCCTCGTTCACCTCTGCAGCCTTCCTGCCGAGCTCACTCCCCTTCCTCAGGCTCCATCAGGCTCTCCTGCTTCCCCACCTGTGGAACTTTGGCTTGAGCCAAAACCACAGCTTGAAAAGCTCACAGGTCCCGTCTGCCGGAACCCAGTACATTCTTCGTGGGTCAGAGTAAAGCCTCCTTGCAAAGCTTGTCTGGACCCCTGTGCTTCCTCCAACACCATGACGTGCCTTTTTCACACTTCAGACCCACTTGCTCACTTCCCTCAGACCCAGAGTGTGCGGGGGCCACACGCCCCTTCGTCCTATCAACAGCGAGTGCTCAGCGAGACTAGCCTTGACTTGAACGGGGTGGCTGGAGGCCAGCCTTGGTCCTGGCCAGGCCTGTGGCCTGACGTCTTCTGGGAACATTTTTTTCCCCAGAGAGAGGGTGCCAAGGCTCTGTCCGAGAGGGGTGATTCTGGCTGCTCACTGCCTACCCTCATGCCCACCTCTGCACACACAGGGGGGACACAGGCCCTCCAGGCCCAGATATATACACATCTGCTGGTTCTGTGTCTCTGGAGAGCCCTAATATACCTCCCTAGGGGGCTCCTTCCTCACCTGCCCTTGCCCATGGGAGTGGAGGGGACATCTGCCCCCGCTAAGCTTGGAGGTGTGGAGGGTACAGAGGCTGGGCCCCTCACATAGCGGGGCACGTGAAGCCCAGCCTCCGGAGCCAGCTTTGGGTCCTGCCTCGTGACTGAGGCCCAAAGCACCACACTCTTCCCCAGAAGCTCTCTCTACCTGTGCTCACTGAGACTCAGTCCCCCGCAGCCAGAATGCCTTGCAAAAAAGGGCTCTAGGACCTGTTGGCTGTATCTAAAATGACACTCAACAAGGACCCTCTAGGGCCGCTGGCGCCCTCCCTCCACACGGGGTGATGAAGTTCGAAACAAGGCACTGGGTTGGAAACCAATATATTTCATCTAAAAGTCTAGGGAGAGAAGTGACAGGTTCTGTAAGCTGGGTGGGGAATGGGAGATACGGACCTCAGAAGTTGAGACTATCCAAAGAGCCCTTTTCTCAAATGCCAAATGGGGATAAGGGGGAGTTGGCAGCCGTGGTCCTGCCCACCGGACTCAGGACACTTGGGACCCTCTGGTCCTTCTCACACTGAGGAGGCATACCCCCAAGTGGAGATTGGAGAAAAGGCAGGGGTGGGATGGGGTTTCCTCCTTGGCTGGGCCTTCCTGGGAGTGGGGGTGCAGGGTAGGGAACCTTGACCTTTGTACTCAGGAGGGGCCAAGCCCCAAGCCAGCTGACCATGGGGAGTTAAGACCCCCAGGCCTCCTGAACTCCAGAAGAAGCGATCCTGACCTGGTCTGGGGGCAGAGGAAGGGGGTCGCTGAGGTCAGAGAATCCATCTGTGTTCTGGGCCAGGAAGCACTCAGTGACTGCAAATTCCTGCTGGGAAGTGATGCGGCCCCACCCTGGTTACAACCCCCGCTGACCCCTGAGTTGACCAGAGTGGCGGGCAGCGGGCTGCTGTGGGGACACCCTGTGTGGCCTGGGGCTAAGGACAGCCAGCACAGAAGTGTCCCAAGCCCAGCAGGGAGGAGGAGGTGGGGAGCAGCCTGGCGAGCATGTTGGGACACCTCAGTTCTCCTTGCCTGCTGGGGCCAGGCTTTGGGGGACTGGCTTGGAGTGGCCAGAAGGGGTCAGTGAGGGCCCTGCAGAGGACTCCAGTTTCACCTTGTCCAGGATGGTCTTCTTGATGGAGGCTGGCGAGACCTTCTCCCGGTCAGCCATGGACTGCAGCTCCCTAGGGAGGCAGTGAAGAGGGCTGGCTCCTGGGCTCTGCCTCCCTCCTGGGCCCAGCTGTCCACCAGGGAAGAAGGAGCGCCTGCTGGCCTGGGTGCTACTCTGCTGTCCCTCCCACCACAGCTCCCTCTGCTAGCCACCCCTCCCCAACACGGCCCTCTGTCTGCCTCTCACCTCATTCAGATCAGCTCAGGGCCACCAAATCTACTGGCTGCCCCAGCCCCTGAACCCTTCGTGGGATGACGGCTCCAAGCCAAGCCACCAAACCCTGCCATCCGACCGGCCTCTTCGATTCCTTTCTGCTGTCCCAGGGCTGGGGCGAGTGCACGCACACAGCGGAGCCTCCTGCCGGCTGACTGGCGAATCTCCCCAGGAGGAGGGCAGGGAGGAAGGGGTGACCCGGCCCACAGAGGTTCCCTCTGTTTCCCACTGGCCTGCCTCCCCGGCCTGGATGGTCACCCTGGTGTGCGGGCTGCAGGGGGTGACACTCTGTGGGAAGCACAGCGTGGGCCCACGGGGCAGCCCGTCCCCATGGGACAATGGCTGGTGAGGGGGGGCTATAAGCTATGACCCTGGGGGCACCCCTGCCAGGCCTTGGTAAACGTCTGCTCAGGGAACGGCTGAGCAGAATGTGCGAGGCGGCATTGGGGGCCCACCGTGTGCGGATGCAGGAGGCCTCCACGGCGTTGACGAGGAGCGAGCGGAAACCCCCACTCTCCAGGACATGCAAGGCATGGATGGTGGCCCCGCCAGGAGAGCAGACGTTGTCCTTGAGCTGGCCTGGGTGTTTCTCCGAGTCCAGTAGCATCTTGGAGGCCCCCTAGAGCCGAGCGAACAGCTGCAGGGTACCTCTCTGGCCTGCAGGCCACTGCCCCCAGCCCCAGCCCCCGTGCACCTGCTGATTCTCCACCCATCCGCCCCCACTGCAATAGCATCAGGCCCGGCAAGGAGTGGCTCCCACCAAAGGACCGGGAAAAACACTGACCAGCAGAGCCTGGGCCCCGAGGCGGACCGCCAGGCGCCTGGGAAGCCCCATCTTCACGCCCCCGTCAGCCAGGGCCTCCAGGGCTGTGAATGCCTGCAGGGAGAAGGCAGCTAAGCCCCGGCCCTAGGCCCTTCCTCCTCCTCCAAGCAACAGTGGGTCCAGCAGCTCTGCCCACAGCAGCCAGAGCAAGGAGCAGGGTGAGGATGTGCCCCAAGGGCCTGGGAACTGTCCGCCACCACCAGTGGCCGCCCATCCCCAGTCCTCACGTAGGCTGGGCCGCTGCCACTGAGCCCCGTGACGGCATCAATCAGGTCCTCCTCCACCTCCGTGCAGAAGCCCACGCTACCCATGAGCTGCTCCAGGAGCCTGCCGTCCTCCACCTGGGCATGGGTGCCCGTGGCATACACGGTGGCTCCCTCTCGCACCACGACCGGTGTGTTGGTCATGCAGCGGATGACTTTGGGGGCTGACTGGAACGCCGTCAGCTTCTGGAGGAGAAACCAGCTGTGTCTCTGTACTGCCCCTTGCCCAGCAGAGTGTGCTAGGCATGACTGAACGCACTCGCGCAACTAAGCATTTCCTGGCTTCTTGCTGTGGGCTGGGCCAATGTGCCCATTTCACAGCCAGAGCTCCTGACCACTGTGCAGCATACTGGCCTGGACCCACAGTGCTCACCTTCTCGATGGAGCTGATGGTGACCCCAGCGGCACAGGACACCACGATGTGACGATCCTCAATGTCAGCACCAATCTCGTCCAGGACAAAGGGGATGATGTGTGGCTTCACGGCCAGGAAGAGCACATCACTGTGCCGCACGGTCTCCTTGTTGTGGGGTGTCAGGTTCACTCCCAGCTTCTGCAGGGAGCAACAACGTAGGCTCAGCCTGCCGGCGTCGCTGGCTGGCCCCCCTAGTATCCTCCCCCAGCTAAGAGCCCCACATGTAGAAGAGCACAGAAGTTGCTGAGAACGTGGAGTCAGGATAGGGGGCTCAGAGCATGGAGCTCTGACAGCCCCCAGCCACCCCTCCCACCCTGAAGTGGAAGAAACTCTCTGCTCTGGAATACGTCCCTTTTGCAAACAGAAAAGGGGTATGTATCCATGCCACGGCCCTGATCCACCCCACCATGGGCGACCGTCCTCCAGGGGTGAGTGGTGTTATGGGTGGCAGGTTCCCAGCTTGACATCTGGAGCCCTGATTCAGCTGTGGCAAACCAAAGCTGTATTCGGTCCCCAGATGTGTTCAACCGGGCCCTGACACTGTGGTCCCACCTGCCTGGCTCCCACAGCCCCTGTGGAGGCTCCACTCGGGGAGCCCCATTCCAGTCCGGCACACCCTCCCCACCAGCTGCATGTGTGCCTGTCACCCAGGGCCCAAGAGCCGAGCAAGGGGAGCCACCAGCAGGCCAGGAGTCAGGGTCTGTGGGACGCTACAGCATCTCATGGCGGGGGGGGGGGGGGGTCGCATGGTGTCTCCCACTGGCCCTTTACACCTGGGGCCCTCAGGGTCAAGGCTATCACACACTCTCCCCGGACACACCAACTAGCCCCTTCAGGGACTGCCTCCCTGTCCCCCTCCACTCTGCACCTACCCTGAGGGCAGAAACGGTGGCCAGGTCCATGTCTGGGGAGCTGGCCATGATCTTGTGGGCAGCCAGGATGCCTGTGGGTAACAGAGATCCTTCCTCAAGGCCTGTCCTGGCCTCCCCCATCACATTCCCAGGAAGGAGAGTGGAAATCCCACCACCCAGAGTGAGACAGCAATTCCTACCCCACCCCAAACATCCCAAGGCTGCCATTTCCCACAGGACTGAAACAGGGCAAGTTTTCCAGACACGTCCCTCACCCCCAGCCCGTAGAAGGGTAATGGCCCACCCCTGCCCGCTCCACGGCCTCCAGGCTGCAGGGCCTACCTGCGGCTGTGAAGCCCTTGGCCAAGGCAAAGGCCAGCTGGCCAGCTCCGATAAAGCCCACGCTCATGTTGTCTGGGGCCCCGCCCACAGCCCTCGCAGCTGGCACGGGCGCTGGGGGACGCTGGAGGGGCAACTGCGGGGCGAGATGGGGCAGGATCCGGAGCAAGAAGTTGGGCGGGCAGCGCCAGGCCTAGCCGCTGGCCCCGCGCCCACCTCCCCGCTCCCACCGCCATCCCGGCCGGTCCAACTTTCCCTGACGCCGCCCGCCAGCTCCGACGTGGCAATCACTCCAGTCTCCCCGTTCACAGTTTGCCCCCGACGGTCCCGGCCAGAGGACACAGGGAGGGGCGTGCCGGCCTCCGGAAGGGGTCGGACAGCCGCGGGGGGCGACGGCTCGCAGCCTGGAGGCCCCCCCACGTCCGAGCCCCCCACCTCACCCCCAGGCCGGAGCCGGTGTGCAGATGCGCCTCTCCCCGTGCACCGCCCCCACCCACACCTGACCCCAGCTCGGCGCCCACTCACCCACTCACTGCGCGCAGGTCGCCCGGGAGCCGCGGAGCCGCGCCCGCCACGCGGCACCCGAGCCTCGTCGGCCCCGCCCCCGCCTCTTCAACCAATGGGCGGCGCGGCCGCCAGGCGCCGGCCAATCGAGGGGCGCGGGAGGCGCCGGGGAGGTTGCATCATCCTCTCGCCCGGCGCTCACGCCCCCGCCGCCCAGGCCCAGCCTCCCCGCGCCCCCGCCCCCCGCCCCGGGTCCGCGCCCCCGCGACCGCGCGTGGGGACTGAGCTCGCCGGGGCTGCGGCTGGCGCGGGCCTTCGAGGAGCGGCCGGGGCGGAGGCTCCCCGCGCGGGGCCTGGTAGTGGGCCACGCGCACACGGGCACGCCAGGTGGTGTCCTCAATCGCGTGGCCCGTGCTAGCTGTTACTTGATCAAACTGTTTGGAGAAGCCCAAACTGTATAATATTTTTGCTTGCTTGCTTTTCTTTTCCTTTTTTTTTCTTTGTGGGAGGCTTGAAAACAATTTGCAAAATGGAAACATTTTAAAATATAACACTATTTTTTTTAAAGACTTATTTATTTTGAGAGAGTGAGAATGAGAGAGTTTATGAGAGGGGGGAGGGTTAGAGGGAGAAGCAGGCCCCTCGCTGAGCAGGGAACCCGATGCAGGCCTCGATCCCGGGACTCCAGGATCGTGACCTGAGCCGAAGGCAGTCGCTTAACCAACTGAGCCACCCAGGCACCCAAATATAACACTATTTTGATACTGTTTTCTCACTTTAAAATTTGTTTATTGCACCGAGAAGCTTGGACATTAGAGAGGATAGCCTAAGCCTTTTCAGAATCTCAAAATCGGGGGGGCCCCTGGGAGGTCTAGGTCAATCCCTTTGAATCCAGACCCTCTTTTTCCCAACTGGGATTTTCTCTGCAAGTCTTCCCCCCCCCCACCCCACCCCCAACCCGGCTCAGGCATGACGGAGGCCATAGCCTGTACCATGTAAACCTCCCCAAACAGGTGCTTGGGGTGGGTAGTGATCAACCAGTCAACAGAAGATGAGATCCCATAGTGCCCCCCAGCTCCTGTGGAGCACCCCCATGTCTCCTGACATCTCGTCTGCAGTGTCCATGGAAATTTTTGCCCCTGCATTTGGAGAACAAGTCATTTTTCCCCTGAGGATGTGCTCAGGGCTCAAGTGAGTTGAGTTTATTTGGGTTTTAGGATAGTCCAGGGTCCCGGTCAGCAGAAGGGTTAAGGGCAAAGTAAGAAGTAATAGTCATTGGCAATTCAACCACCACCACCATCCCCGCCCCGCCCCAGGGGAAGGGGTGACCTGCTTTATTTTTTCAGGTCTGTATCTTAAATGGTAACAAGCTGTTCTCAAACATGATCCAGCATTACCCTGATGTTTGTGCCCCAGAAGCAGGGCTGTGAGCTCTTGTGGACACAGTGGTGGCCATCAACACCAACAGACCAGTGGGTAGTGATGGTGCCTGCAAGGTGGATTTCCTGGCATCCACCACATGGGTGCATCTGAACATTTAGTCCTTACCCTCTGAGGGAGGGGCCATAGCAAGAGGCCCTTCTCCAGTTGGCACCCCCAGGATCCATGCCCATCAAACCTCATGACCCGAGTGCCCCCTGAGACTCCAGCCCACCAACATCTGCCCCCTGACCCCACCCTACTTGTCCAAAGTGGACTGTCTGGGGAGTGGTCCAAACTCAAACGCATAGGCATAAATCCAACAGCCCCCCTGAGTATTGCCTGATTGGACATAATCAAAAGACAGAACCCCTTCCTTTAAAAAGTACCGTTTTTCAGTGATAAGGACAAATAACTCCCTCCTCCAAAAAGAAAAGGTCCTCCCACTCAGGGAGTGACTGTGGGCAGGAACATCCCAAGGCAAGCCTCCTGGAGGACTTCTGCCATGTTTATCTTGAGCCCTCCTCCTTTGTCTTCCCCACAGGCCCTTTAACATTTAGGGTAGGTGGAGCACTGGGGGCACAAGGCCACTGGGCAATGAGGAGGCTGGGGAGCTGGTGACCATTTAGGAAGTTTGGCTAGAAAAGGAGGAAGACTGGTCGGCGTGCAGGCCTCCCTGTGAGCTAGGAAGGACACGGCGCATATGCTCATTTGTCACCTGGAGATGGGCCCCCTGGCCCCCGCTCTCCCCCAGCCAGTGAGGGCCGTCAGGACACCTCAGGACACACCGGCTCCTGGTCCCTTTGGGGATCGACTGTTGAGCCAATAACACCTGCCCCCCTCCAGATAAAGGACCCCTGTCAGTGCGCCCTCCCTACCAGGCAGGCGAGTCGCCCCCCTCATGCTCTGCATGGCGCCAGCACAGGGGAGTCCATGGAACCCATGGCTATGCCCCGCCCCTGGCAAGCCCCTGCAGGAGTGTGGGGTGCTGGTGAGCACCACTGGAAGGGGGGAGACCAGCTCGGCATCGCCCTCACCTCCCCACCCCCATTGCCCACAGAGGGAGAGGACAATGCCCGTTTCTTCCTCGGGAGGCTGCCCCTCAGCCCAAGGGGCACCTTCTCCCTCAGTCAGGCCCAGTCTCGGCCAGTCTCCCTGCTCACACTGGGTCACACTGGGGGGATGGCCCAGGAGGTGCCGCTGGCCATCGCCCCCTGGGCAGAGACTGCTCACCAGAGCCAGGATGCGTGTCAACGTTGGCCTTTATTTCCTGCTCAAGGCCCCAGGACGGGCCACAGGGCTGCTGTACTCAGGGGCAGCCAGCAGCTTGATCTGGGGTGGCCCAGTCCGGGCTCCTGAGCAGGGGAAGCTGGCTGGAGTGCGGGGGGGGGACAGCCCCAGTGGGCTCTCGTGGTCAGCGGCCAGGTGAAAGGGTACTTGAGCGGAGGTCGTGGGCCTATGAGCACTAGGGAGGTACCCAGCGCCCAGGCTCTGTGACCCAGTGGCTGCCCCAGGCTGGGCTCTCCCCCTGGGTCAGGGCTGCCCCAGACTCGCCTGTCTGGGGCCCACAGTAGGCACTGCAGAAGCTGCTGCACTGGGGCTGATGGTGGGTGCCTGGTGGGCACTCCCTCCCCGGGCGGGAACCCAGCTTCCCCTCGGCATTCTGCGCTCACTGTGGTCCTGCCAACCCCCTGTGGGCCCCTGCAGGCCCCTGGCACTGTCTCCAGCCTGCTGAAGCTGCCGTGTGTGACCACACCATGATTCCTGTTCTTCTTACAGCCACTCCAAGGTGGGCAGGGAGGGGTCCCCACACCAGGCTCCTTCTCCTTGAGCTGGTACAGAGCCCCCCCAGCAGCGCCCTGCTGAGACCGCTGTCCTTCCCACACCCCCGGGAACTGTCCTCTTTTCAACTGTACTACTCAGGTCACGGCCTGAATGTGGTCTCCAGACCCTGGTGGGCACATGGGGCTGCCTCCAAACCCTAGCCTCGACGTCCCTATCTATAAAGTGGGTCACAACAGTATCTGCTTCAAAGGCTTCTCATGTTGCGGTGGGTAGCACTGAGCCAGGGAGGGCCAGGAAATGGAGAGAGAGAGAGAGAGAGAGAGAGAGAGAGAGATACAGACAGAGATAAGAGATACACAGAGAGATAGACCAAGAGACAGAGAGAAGGGCTGGGAGCTGCCTGGGGGAGGAGGGTGCTTGCCTGTGTCCTGCTCAGGGCCTTCTGCCCCTCTGTCCCCCCTCCCACTGCCCCCAGCCTGGCCAGAAATCCAGGAGTGGCTCTGGTGGTTGCCTCCCTCGGGCTTGCTCCCTGGGCGTCTGGGTTCACCCTGGTGGCCCTCACGGTGCCTGGGGCCCCTGGAGAGCCCTGGCGGGCAGGCAGCTACAAGGTGGGCACGAAGCGGATCCTCTGGGAGTAGGCGAGGTCGGCGATGTAGAGGAGCAGGTTGACGTAGGTGAAGGTGGCCACCACCAGCTGGCTGTCCCAGGAGCAGCTGCCACGGGGGCAGTCGGGGGGCCGCCCAGGCTCACCGTACTTGGGGTCGAAACAGAAGACAGGCCAGATCACAGCTGCGCTGAGGTACAGGAGCACGGCCAGGAAGGTGTACACCACCACCACACGGTCGAAGGGGCAGCCCAGGCCCCCTGTGCGGCCCGTCACGCTCAGGGCCACCACGGCCACCGTGGCCAGGAAGCACAGGCTGTAGACGGCCACGCACCACTGGGTGGCCACGTAGCGCCCGTAATGGCTGTCGTGGACGAGCGCCCCGAAGATGATGCAGGCCACGAAGGCCTGGACGATCTTGAGGAGCCCTGAGACCGTGGCCATGTAGCTAGCCACCTGGCCCGGCCGGGCCCGCGTCAGGGCTACCTCCGCAGCGTAGGCCAGGAAGAGGAGCCCCGCAAAGACGCTGGCGGCCAGGCGGAAGTCCCTGGCTGCGCAGCCCGCGGGCTCGGGGGGGCACTCCAGCCGGGTGAAGTACAGGGGGTAGATGACCGCGGCCGTGGCGGACAGCAGTGTGGCCAGCATGGCGAAGGCTGCGGTGAAGTTGCCCCAGGACAGGTGCAGGCAGCTGTGCAGCCGGGTGAACTCACAGGCCACCACGAGGCCGGAGAGGGCGAAGCAGAAGCCCCACGCAGCCATGCAGAAGGTGCCCTGGACGCCCGCGAAGCCGCCCCGGTGGGCCACCAAGCTGAAGGTGGTGCAGCCAAAGGCTAGCTGCAGTACTCGGGCCGTGCCCACGGGGGACGTCACAGCGCCCAGGTGCAGGTACCCACCCCCGGGGGGCTCCATGGTGCTGCCCATCTGGCCGGCCTGGTCCTCCCCTCGCTGGCTGCCCGGTGGCCCTGGTGTCCCGGCCCGGCCGCGGCCCGGCTCTCCACTGTGCCCGCGGAGACAGGTGCCGGCAGCCTGCAGTAGCGGTGATGAGGGCGCCGCCTGACATTGCAGCAGAGGGCGGCCTCTCCGCCGCCTGAGTGGGGCGGGCCGAGCACCCCCCCCCCGCACTATAAATAGGTGGTCACGATTTGAGCCCCGGAATAGCAGCAGGGTGTGTCTCTCCCCAACCCCCAGGGTCATCTGACCCCCCGCGTCCCGCCGCGAAGCCCCTGCCAGGACCATTAACCCCTTGGCTGCTGGCACCGGCCCA